TTTTCTGGAGAACGGTTTAGGGTTTAGGGCCTCGGGTAGCTAGATCTGGACTCCCAAATTCCACCATCATCCCTAACCCCATCAGCTAGAATCGGCGGCCTCTGGCCACTGCAGCAAGATCGCGGCCACGATCAGCCTAGGGGTTGAAGCTGCAAGGGGGTTTCCGCGGCTCCTCGACCCTCCATCTACCCTCTCGTAGGCGATAAATGCCCATTTTTTGGGACCATATACAGTTTTTGAGGGCACAAGGAGGGTCATGGTTTTGGGTTAAAGCTTCGAGCTCCAGGCGTTTAGGGCTTCAAAAGCTCGGCCTTTGGGAGTTGGGGGTTGAAGTTTCGTGGTTCCTTGTCGGCTCCTTTCCGATCCGCCAGATAGCCAGGGATTCGGGTTCAGGGGGCCTTGTGGGACGCACAAGGTCGAATGCTTAACACAACGCCAGTGGTGCAAACTTTCAGTTTCACCCGTGTGCCCTGACAGACCGGCAGGTATACTTCATGTCGACGCCCTGGCATCTTGCATCCGGCCGAACCGAAGGGATTGCACTCCTAAAGCCGCCCGAAGCAGCTTCCAGGATTAAGTTGCATAGGCTCCGTGACACCTGCAGTCTTGGGCTTGATGATGTGGGTGGATGGCTACGAGAAAGCAAATAAGAACCGTTCGTGTTACAATCAGCCCTCTGCTTTGCATACGCATGCGAAACAAGGATGCGCGAGCATGCACTTGGGAGCTTTACAGAGGGAAATAGCAACAGCTAAGCAAACATGAAGAAGTAATCATGTGAATGTCACTACATGCAAGGAGGTAGGTAGGCAGTCAGGTAGGTAAGTAGGCTTAGGTAGGCATGCAGGGAGGTAGGTAGGCAGTCAGGTAGGTAAGTAGGCTTAGGTAGGCATGCAGGGAGGTAGGTAGGTAGGTAGGTAGGCAGGCAGGCAGGTTTACATGCATGTACATACATACACACATCAGTCATACAGAAGTGAATCCATGAACCATCATCCATCCAGACAGAAATGCATGCTGGATGAATGTATGGATGATGGATTTAAGCAGATAGATAGGTCGATCGATAGATAGATAGAACGATAGATAAAAAGGTGGATAGATCGGTAGATAGAGAGATCAGATAAGATAAGATGGGGGCAAGATTAGATTAAGCTGAATGAAAAATATACAATAAGATAAGGTAAGATAAAAAAGAAACAATACATGTTCAGACGCATAGGTAGATTGACAAATACATAAAGTAGGTAGATAGGTAGATAGATGGGTGACTGGACAGATGCATGGACAGATCGACAGATAGGTAGTTGGAGAGGTAACTAGGTAGACACTTAGAAGGAATCAGAAAGACCCATCGGACATACAGATAGATGGACAGATACACGGATCCATAGCTAGCTATGTAGCTAGGTAGGTGGGTGGGTATGTAGGTAGTTAGTTGGTAGACCGCTGTTTATCTTAATTGTTGTACGCAGAGACAGCAGAGAGAGAGAGAGAGAGAGAAAAAACACAAAAACAAAAAGAGCTTAGTATACTTCGGGGCAAGCTTCGGTATCGAAGTTGGCTCACCAGAATCAGGGTGCCACCGCATTGACTCCCAGAAAGCTTCTGTCAGCTTCACCTGCCGCGGTCTAGCTACTCACACGACAGTTCTCCAAGCCAGCCAGCACCTAGCTACTGCAGATCAGAAGCCTGCACACCAGATCAGATCAATCAGATGCCCTAAACTGTCGACGCCTAGGCTATGCGAATAGTACGTATGTTGGGCCGTCAAGTCTATAAACAGGGTCCCCCAATTGGGCTTCTTGAAAGTTTGGAGCCGAGGCCCGAGGGAGTCATTCCAGCGGAAACTCAGGATCCCCCTGGCGCTACCCATAGGCCCCTAAGTAGTGCCTTTTTCCTATAAGGTAATCCCACAAAGGAACTATTTAGGGGCCTATGGGTAGGTTCGACAAGCCTTCCTGGAGGAATGCGCGCCCCCGTAGATGTGACATTCGCGCCCCTCTGTCCCCGCGATCCTTCCTGCTTGGACATAGGGGCCCTCTTAAGTCTCTAGATTTCCGGCAGTGTATGTTTGAGAAGTTTTAGAAATTTACAGATAATTCAGCGTAAACATGACTTGTGAACAGGAGCTACATAAGTGTGCATCCACTGGCTGAAGCAGTTTAGCATTTCGAAGCCCAGACACCCTTGAGCAGACTTTCGGTGATGCCCTTCGGGTTAGTACCAAGTCTTTCCCCTGCAGAGCACAGGCGTTGAGCCCAGTCTCCGCGAACATGCCAACCCAGGTGGAGATTCACCACCATAAACCCTAAACTTTGTAGCCCCCTGAGGCCGCATTGTTGAAGCCAAGACTGAGCCTTGAAGTGCTCCCACTATCATAACCCCCCCAAATCCTGACTGCTCAGGGCTCTTCCCCGAAATCTTACCTGGGCCCTATGGAGTTTAGGGTTTAGGGGACTCTATGGTTACCTGGCTGTCTTCTAAGAGGATCCGATCTCACCGCAAAGGCCCTTCCGGACCCAAAAGTGCCTGCCTAACTTTCCTCATTATGGATTTCCCTATATCCATCCCCCAAACAAGTAGCTAGGTTATTTGGGGTCCAGCCCTACCCCCTAAACCCTAAACCCTAAGGCCGAAGGCCCTCTCGGGCCTCTTGCTCCGCGGATGTTCCGGCATCAAGCAGCTTAGCCAAGGACTCAGCATCCCGGAGGAGGAGGGTCTCGATGACGGGAAGTGCACGAGCCTCCGGAAGGAGGTGGTTTGGGTGCTAGAACCCTGACCTGTTAGGTTAAACATGATAGAAGCAAGGTTTTGAGCATATATGTTGTACTGTGCCTACGCAGGAATACCGTACTATTTACTCCGACGGTTTATCATTGTCATTTGCGCTCTGTGGCTTTCGGGCTCCAAGTTGCGTTTACGAAGAAGAATTGTGGAAATCCATGCGAGTAACCTCCCAAGGGTTTGGAGTCTTAGGCGTTCATGGAGCAGCAATAATAATCAAGGGGGTCACAGGAATCCTGAATCGAGAACAGGCGGACTGCTTCGATTTCGCGCAAACGGTAGCCGCTCTTGCATTCGTAAGTTCATTTGCAGCGTTTTGCCAGGGCAACTGTGACGGAAGCCAGGCCGCAGACCGAGGTCAGCGTCACATGCACGTAACCCTTCACCCGGTGACCTTTGATTCAAGATAGAGCAGGACAATCTTAAACCTCATAGCCCTGCAAATCTTAAGACCTGACAGCTGAGGCTAGTGTAGTGGCCTGAGTAGTAGAAGAAGATTGGGGTTTATTACGTATGCTATAATCATCATCAGGAACCCCCGCAATAGTACGTATTGGCAAGCCCTTATACTACGCCAGCCTGACATCCTAAAGCCCCAACAGTTCGTAGGGCCCCGAAAAGCACATAAGCAAAAATTAGGATAGGGATATCACATATAACCCCCCTTATAATGAAGCCCAATAAGGTAGGGCTATCCCTATAAAATGCTTATGCTTATGTCCTTTTTGGGTCCCTAAGTTCGAAGCCCGATTTCCGTACGGCAGCCTGGATCTCGGATCACGCAGGCACACTTGACATTTTATAACAGCAGTTATAAAGGCTTAGTAGTGGGTGTATAAGGGTTCAGGGGTTTAGGAATTATAAAGGCTTAGTATTCGTTCTGAAAGACACAGTAATAGTACTGCTAGTGGTACTTAATAGTACTGCTAGTGGTACTGGTACTAGTAGTATACAAGTTACTAGTACTACTACTACTACTACTACTACTACTAGTAGTAGTAGTAGTAGTAGTAGTGGTAGTAGTAGTAGTAATAAACTAGTAATAAACCCTATACACTATAAACCTAAATGCATTTCCGAGCGTAGAGCAACATTCTTTGAAACCGCAACACCCTGAAACCCAGAACCCGAAACCCTAAACCCGGACTTCAACAAATGAGATTTTTTTTGGGGGGGTGTATGATAGGACTCTAAGCGCAAACCAGAAAAGATTAATAATGTTCAAAAGGTCTAATATGGGTAGTTCTCTAAATTAGGATCCCTTTTGGGGGCCCTTTTTATACGGGTGCCGTACTTTTTTGGGGACCCAAAAAAGGGCCCCTAGCTTAGAGAACTACCCAGATACTAGGGTACTCAGACCGAAGCATAGACCCTGCCCGCCCGAGAGCTTGCCTGTGCAGGTGCCACCTTGTTCGCCCGGTAGCCGGAGGCGGCCTCCTCAAGGTTTGAGGAACATGGTTGCAATATGCTACAGATATCAGGTTTTTTTGTGATTTATGAACTATTTTATAACTAATGTGTCAAGCAATCTTGCTTGTGCTACTCTTACCGCTGTTGTTACTGTTAGATTTGAAATTTCTGTTATAAAGTCATACTACATTACAGTATCATGCAGTATATGTTCCCGCAGTTCAGGGCTGATGGGCTCTGGACATTTTTGGCCTCTCGCGTAGAAGAAGATTATGCCGCTGCCTGCATCACAGGGTTGGAAGGAGGGACAACATCTGGTCGGTCGACCGTTAGACTGACACGTTCTTGTTTAGCGTTCACCTGACCCCAGTAGGCGACTCGATTTATTGTTGTTCCTCGCTGCTTAAGGCAGGGGCGGCCTATGGCCCGCCGAAAACCGAAATCTTCGCATGCCATGCTTTGCATGGTCCATGGTGCAGTGTCTGAGAAATCTTCGCATGCCATGCTTTGCATGGTGCTGTGTCTGAAACTTTGCGGGCAAAGAGGGAGGACCTCGGAAAATGAACAGCCCGGACAGCATGCAAGGGAAGAGCCGAAATGGCTTTCGGGAAGTGGAATTATGAGGTCAAGGCCTCTTCCAACCCAATCGGGCCAAACCTGGGTTCCAGGTTATACTGTCCAGTGACTTAAGACTTGCGCAACATGTTGTCTTGTGTCCCCGGACATTTCGCGCTCGGCCAGCTACAGCCTTCATACATGCTCAAGCTACGGTACGACACCGAAAAGCTCGTCAAGGCCTGCACTCAAACAGTAAAGAAAGTCCCTCGGACAAAGGCGTGCTGGTCGCTGTCGCTGCCCTGTTCCGAGTCAGTAGCGAACATCTCCCGCAGCAAGGGCAAATACCCATCAAAATGCTCCTGCAGCTGTGCGCCGCTCGCTGTTCGATACATGCTGTGGCTCGGGAAATACTTCTCGGTGTCAGTGTCAGCAATCTGAAGCATCTCTCTTGCCCACGAAGCTAGGACCAGGTCGCCATCCCGTTTGATGCAGCTGAGCCTCCAATAAATACCGAGAAGCACATCCCTGATCTTATGTCGGTCGCAGGGCATGTTGTCCGGGTGCTTCCGGCTGCAGCATGTGAAGGAGCCACCGAGCACGTGGAGTATGCTCTGATCCGCAATAGACTCGTCGGCGGCACCATTTCTGAGGCCGCTGTCATCGCAGATGTATATGGTTGCATCCCCTGAACGGAGGCCAGACCCCGTCTTGTAGCTCAGAAGCTCAAGCCGGCACCAACCGCGCGAACCGTAGGTCTGCAGGTTCACCTCTGCGCCCGTGTCGGCGTGCGTGCAGGTAGGAGCCACCGCCACCAGCACGGAGCAGTGAGAAGCGTAGACGGCCAAGGAGTTGACAGCTGCTTGCTGTTGAAACTCATTCACCTGCGGAATGGATGTGTAGTCCACCCAGATGTAGCCACAGGCGATGCCCCTCTCCTGCAGCCCCTGCAGGGCCAGCAGTATGGAGCTGTATTGTCGGCCCTCAGGGTCGGGGTGATCGAAGCCAGCCCACTGATGACTCACGAAGACGGTGCCCGAGGAGGCCGACACCCCGTCGGCCTCGTGAGACTCGAAACACCGCAACTGCCCAGCTTCCCTCGCGACTTCGTGGCGAACCAATTGGCCCATCTGCAAGAACTCTGGCAGCTCCACTAAACACATCGGAAACAGAAAAGTATCCAGGTTTCTCACAGACCTTCGGATAGAGTCGCACTTCTCAAGCGCCAGGTGCCTGGCCAGATCCTGCAGCGCCCTCGCTTGGCGGCGCAAAGCCAAGATAATGTTCAGGCCAAGAAGAACACCCATCACCGCCGTCAGAGGCAACACCAGCAGTAGCTGTCTCCAGAAGTCTTCGGACACCATGGGCCATCCGGCCAAAGGCGCCACCTTCAAGATCCAGCTCAACTCAAATTCCTCCAGGGTCACGGACACTTGAACCGCGTCGCTAGCGAATCTGTGTTGGTAGATTGCAGCCAGATTCCTCCCAACTCCACCATGGATGGGTGCGGGCTGGGGTCAGAGAGCTCGGTGGCAAACTGTGAGATGCCAGAAACACTAACCTCGCCGCCCTGCACCCCAGCCTCCAGAAAGGCCAGCTCCGTTGTGGACAGGAGGTCCTCTACACGAAAGAGCATCGTGGCAAAGCCCCAGAAATACGTAGGGCTCCCATCTGACTCCACTGGCCCAGGAATGGAGCACTCCTGATCGTCCCGGAGCTCTGGTACAGAGCAAATCCTGGTGTAGTTCACGCCATCTGCACCGAGCCACCACTCGTCCGGCAGAAACTGTGGTGCATGGCGGGCAAAGATGGGTCGCCGGGCGACTGCCCCAATTCCACCCTGCAATAACTTAAGAGGCCCGTTCACATGTGTCTGCCGGGACTGTATGGCCTCGAATGCCTGCACTTTGCGTGCTGGGTCCAGCAGAAGCGCATGGCCAAGCGCACCACGGTTGTCTTGGGAAGCATCCACCAAGGGAAAGATGCAGCAAACAGTCCCAAATGGGGCCAGTTGCAGATTGGAGATCCCCTTGTAGGTTCGGATCAAGGTCTCTGCCAGCTTGTCAAACTCCTCAAAGGCCGCGCCAGACCGGTCGATATGGATGACACTATCGAGCGCTTGAAGGGAACCAAAAGAAGTCCGAAGTTGTCGAGTGATGTCACCGGCCTGCGTGCGAGCGACGTAGCGCACAGACTGCCGCGCCTTTCGCAGTAACGAAGCCTCCGACTCACTCAGATTCCATATGCTGACGGCCACAATTGCAGTGATGATGGCAAGGACTCCCCAGAACTTCCGCCATCGCATCCAGAGAGGGATCTGCTTCATCTGCTGCTGCCCCGGTTCCGAGATGGATGGCGACACCGGGATGTCATGCATATCGGACTGGCTCTGCACGATGGCAGCGAGCGCCGCAGGAGCCGTGCCCCTCTGAAGCGCCAGCGCCTCTTCACCCATGACAGATCACCTTGCGATGCCACAAGCCTGGGTTGCTATTGTGGAACTTAAATTTATATATAGTTACTAGAACAGGGAACTCCCATTACTTACAGTACTATTAGAACACCCGGTTATGATAACTTAGACTTAAGTTAAACTTAAGACTTAAAAGTTATAAGTTCCTTAACAGCAACCCAGAAGCTACAGAATGCGGGGCGCTCCCCAGAGACCAGATTCCAGGGCAAATAGTACCATTGCTCCACAGCTGGCCCAACAAGTGTGCAATTCGTTTTGGAAATGTAGACTAGCCGTCACTACCACACACTCCATTGTCCGACTGTCGTTGACTGCGCAGGCTTAAACTGTACTGTTCAAGCAAAGTTGTGGAGCCGCCTTGCACAAGTCTTCTACATCAGCAGGCCACACCTTGAGAAACATACGGTTTGAGGCTTTGCTTACGGTTTGGGGCAGTCAAGCCGAGGAGCTTTTGGTTTTGGTTTTTTTGATGCGGGAATTGGTACAAAACTTGCTGGAGTCTTGTAAGACTTCCATTTGGATTATGCAATGTACGGCCCATTTTTGGCCCGGTAGCCGCAAAGCCCAGGCAGCCGAGTTGAGGACAGCCCGGAGTCTAGGTTGCTGCTACGGACATTGCTTATGCCTGGCTGCCGAACTACAGCATGAACACTGCTCTGAACTGCTCCACTCACTGCATCGCTAGACACTCAAGACGACACTCGTATCTGGGTTTGCCAGCACTTCTTTCAAGTTGGTGACCAATATCCGAGAAACGCGTATCATTTACCGCACGTCCCTTCTGCGCTTGCATAGGGTGAAGCTCCTCGTACTGGCCAGACTGAGGAGCAGCCACCCTCCGCCAGCAGTCGCCATCTTCCCAATCGATGGCCTTACCGTCGGTGCTGAGGTAGCCACGCACGTCTTCGTAGTCCGTGATGATGACGCAGGTCTCCGCATTCAGCACTTTGATTCTGGCAAACAGGCTCCCATCATGGAAGACGTTCCGGCCTGTCACAGCCAATCCGACTCTGACGAGCTACAGCACCGGTAAGGCAATGTTGGGGCCTGGATGATCGGAAAAAGACTTGGGGTGCACGTTGAAATTATTAATTATGATAGGGAGCCCAAGGACTAGCAGCAATAACTTACTAATTTCTCCGACTCCTGTAGTACTAGAAGAACGGAGGCTCCAAGTGAGGCGTTGCAAAAGCCACCGGCCTGAAATGATGACAGTTGTGGAGCTCATGGTGTCTCCCACCGCCATTGTACCTTCCTGGATCAAGGATGGCTTACACATGTGAACCCGGTTCCATGGACTTGCTTGAAATGACATACATGCTCGAACCGCACGGATATAGCTCCTACACCCCAACCCATTAGCACACACAAATTCAAATCACAAATGCTCACAGTGTAGTTCTCTAAATTCGGGTCACCTTTTGAGTCCTTTTGATAAGAGTGCGGTACTATTTGGGGGACTTCAAAAGGGACCCTAATTCAGAGAACTACCCGCATCGAGACAGGTGTGCCCCAGGCGTTGTTTCTGGGTGCTGTTCGAGGAGAAGGCTGGAGGATTTCCGGATGTGCGATCACGGGGTTCTGCAATCTGGTTTAGGGGTTAGGGTCTATAGGGAGGGGTTTAGGGCTTATAGGGTCTAGGATCTGAACTGTGGGGATCCAGGCTTCGGAGCTGGCTTCAGGTAAGACCTAATCTGCTTTATCAGACAAGTCTGGACATCGTGTGCTGATGCTAGGGATAGTATTACTGAGAGGACGGAGCTCTTGACCTCGTAGCCCTGGACTGGATTGATGCCGCCGGGGGGCCCAGAAGCCATCAAACGACAACGCTGAGAGCTTCTCCAACTCCGGTGGAGCACACTGCTCCATGTCATCTGGATTTGTTGCCTCGTCTCTAGGTTTGCCAGAGGTTCGCCTTAGACTCCTTAAACTTTAAACACAGAACAGCCTACTAAACTCTTGTGCTTGCTGGTTTTTGTTCTGTGTATCTAATTGTGTGTGTGTGTGATTGTGTGTGTGTGTATGTGTCCGTCTGTCTGTCTGTCCGTCTGTCCGTCTGTCCGTCTGTCTGTCCGTCCGTCCGTCTGTCTGTGT